TGAACTGGCGAGCCTGTTGGTGCCTGTGGACTTAAGAAGCTATAATTTCTATGCATAAAGGAATAGAATACGTTCTGGGTCTAAACTCTGCATGTCTACTCTAAAATAAATCAGGGATCGTCCCCATGGTGTGACGGTCCGGGTAAGCTTACAAGAAGAACACGCGGTCACTGGAACAAAAAACTTTATTTGGTAATGATGAATTTTATGACCACCTAGACAGGGCATGGGAAAAGCAATCGCCCATAATGCAGGTGGCTTTGCACTTAATTAACTTTATGACCTGTCCTTCACAGGTCAGGATTATCCTGAGGGCTAAGTTTTGGCCTTACGTAGAGTCTAGATTTGGGGTAGGGCTATGGTTAAGATTAAGGTTACAGTTTCGTTTTAAGTTAGGTTTAGTGTTAGGATTCAGATACCGGAATATTTATCCTTCTTGAAATTTGTCACGGGGCGTGCCTACTCCCATGTTTGTTTGTGGGCGGCCATACAAGTAATCCTTCCCCTTAATTCCCCTGACTCTTCTGATTCCCGCCGTATGGCTGGCTGATGACAGCTAATAAGCCAGAAATGACCATTCCAGTCTCCCGCTTGTCTTCGCCGGCAATGCTATCTACCTAGACGACTAGCCGTTTTTGCGACTGCTGACGGGGCTCGAGAATGATCCCCAAGGTGGAGCGGGACGAATGGCTTCCGTTAACGACCGGTGAACGTTCCTCAAAGGGTACTTGTCTCTCTCATCAGCAAACATGCCAAAATGAAAGAAGTTCTTAGGGCCGAAATTATCTGATAATTCCGACATTACTGTGTCCTATACCTTTATCCACGCCGGTCATACACCATACACTAAAAACTGCACTGATATAAAAATACAATCGGATCGGCACCTTTAATTTTATACATAGGAATTTAAGTTACGTTTCCGTGAAGAAGAATGCCTAGTAAACCCTGAAAAATGGATATTTATAATATTTTTGAGTTGCTTCTTCTTTTTTACTCTCTCTCACCGAAGCGCCTCACACGAACGCGAAGTTCTCGGTTTCCGGACCCAGATCAAGACTCTGCAGGAGAATTACGAGATGGCTTCAAAAGAACTCAGCAACGCGCAACTCCAGCTTCGTCTGCACGCGGAATCTCGTTTATCGAACCGGTCGGAGGTTTCCGAAACCGCGAAGCTGCTCAGAGAATGTGAGCTTTTTGTACCTTTGGTGGGGTTAGGGACCAACTAAGGTATTCCCTGTATATATAACCTAGTTTGTTGCCGGCAAAACAAAGCATGCGGCTACTGTACAGCCTATTATTCCTGAATACACTAAACGGTATCTTATTTAGTTTTTTTTTTTGAGTAATTCCTCTAGCACGACCGTGATTGGGCCTA